TTTGGTAAGAGCGTCGGCCAGTTGGTCTTTTGTGGAGACATGAACCACTCATAGTGTACCCGCTTGGACCTGATTTCTGATGAAGTGATAGTCCAACGCAATGTGTTTCATTCTGGCGTGGAAGACTGGATTCGCACAGAGATATGTAGCTCCCACATTATCGCAATAAATGACTGGTACTGAAGGCAGATGGAGTTGCAGTTCTTGGAGAAGAGAGCATATCCACTTCATTTCAGAAGAAGTATTTGCCACCGCTCTAAACTCTGCTTCTGTTGACGATCTGGCGACGACTCGTTGTTTATTTGAGGACCACAATATTGGATGAGGACCAAGGTATACTATGTATGCATTGGTGGAGACGTAGTCATCCGAGTCACCTGTCCAGTCTGCATCAGAGTAAGCATGAAGTGTCAAGGCATTGTCGCGTTGGAGGAAAATACCATTAGACGTTGTTCCTGCTAAGTAACATAGCACCCTCTTGACTGCTTGCCAGTGGTCTGTAGTTGGTTTGTGCATGAAGTGAGAGAGACGATTCACAAAATATGATATATCTGGTCTTGTTATTGCTAAATACTGCAGGGCTCCCACTGCGCGACGATATTCTATAGGATCGTCTAGTGTTGTTCCTGAGTGTATCAAAAGTTTAGGTGATGAGGCCATTGGTGTGGTTACCGGCTTCACTGTCAGCATATTGTTGCGTTCCAGAAGGTCAATGACATACTTCCGTTGGCTTAGATGAAGTCCAGTTAGCTTCTATGTCGAGGAAGTAGGACAAGTCTTCATGCTCTTTGACTGAGAACCCTGTTGCAAGAGCTTCAAGTGTTTGGTATAGTAGGCCATTGTCGTTTCCAGTGACAATAATATCGTCAACATACACCAACATGTATGGAATGGATCCTCCTTGTTGAAGATTAACATAGAAGTATCTGCAACAGAGTTAACAAAACCAATCTGAAGAAGATAGTTATGAAGCTCAATGTACTAGGCTCGTGGTGCTTGCTTCAAGCCGTAAATTGCTTTGCGAAGTTTGCAGACATGATGTGGCTTTTCGGGATCAACAAATTTTGGCGGTTGCAACATATATACCTCCTCTGTAAGTGTGCCTTGGAGGAAGGCGTTAATCACGTCTAACTGGCGGATGGTCCTTGATCTGGCGATTGCTACTCCTAGAACGATTCGAATCGTTGTTGATTTAATGACTGGGCTAAAGGTTTCAGCATAGTCTATTCCTTGTTGTTGATTGTATGCTTTGTCTACTAGCCGTGCTTTGTGTCTACTAACACTTCCATCAGGATTGTATTTGGTTGTGAAAACCCATTTACACCCCACCATTGTGATTGGATATGACGGTACTAGAACAAGGTCCCACGTGTAGTTTCCAATTTGTGAGTTGATCTCTGCAATGACCGCTTTACGCCATGGTTCATCTTCTAGTTTTTGTCGAGCAGTACGAGGTTCAAAATTGGCAGCGGTAACATTGGTTAAGGCTAGATACTTTTTGTTGGGTTTCCGAATACCTCCTTTGGCTCAGGTGGACATCAAGTTTTTGTTGAGCGGATTGCGTCGAGGTTCAGAGATCGTGGGAAGGGAAGAAGAGGATGTTTGATGTCGAGATCTTTTTCGGATTCGTGTTTGTTGGGATGGAATGTTTTGTCTGGTTTGGGCTTGGTTATTTTGTGTGGTTTGTGGATTGAGTGGTTGGGCTTGAGTGTTTGTGAGGTGTTGTGTTTGGGCTATTTGCGAAGTGGTATTATTTTGTGGTGGTTCTTGCTGGGCCGTGGGTTGCGGCCCATTTTGTGTAGGAGCAGTGGGCTCAGAGTTTAGAGACGGAGAAGAGATCATAGTAGAGTTTATAGGTAATACCTGAATGGGTGACGGTGACGGTGATGGCGATGGCGGTGGCGCCATTGATGTTGGTGATTGCTGGTGAAGATCCGAGCTCGGGGGTTGCAGCACCGGTGGTGATGGCAGAACTGTCGGAGGTGAAACAAGCTTTATTTGAGTACGCCAGTGAGATTCATTCATCGAGTAGTCATCTTCGGGATTCACAGGATGGACAGATGCCGATGTGAAGAAGGGGAATCGATTATTGTCAAACATCACATGTCGTGATGTGTAAATCCTTCTGGTAAGTACGCGCTTTGCATTGTAGAGTAGCCTATGAATACGCATTGCAGGGATTTGTCTTCCAGTTTATGTCTCGTATATGGGCGAAGCCAAGGATAAGCTGCACAGCCGAAGACTCGCAGTTTCTGATAGTTAGGTTCCGTACCGAATAGCTTGTGAAACGGCGATTGTAGATGCAGAACCGGTGTAGGAAGTCTATTGATTAGATAGACTGCAGCCGAGAATGCATATGGCCAATACTTCTTAGGGACCGACACCAATGAGAGCAAAGATAATCCAGTTTCGACAATGTGTCTGTGTTTTCTCTCTGACGCACCGTTGTGTTCTGGCGTATTAGGCCGTGACGTAAAGTGAGAAATACCATTGATGACAAGGTATTCTCTCAGCGCCATGAACTCTCCACCGTTATCTGAGAATAGCGTGCATATCTTTGTCTGAAACCGATTCTCCACAAGTGGTTTAAAGATGATGAAGTTCTCTTTGACTTGAGATTTCCTTTTCAGTGGGTACATCCAAGTATACCGAGTATAGTGGTATACTATAACGAGATAGTATTTATACCCATCTATGGAGAGGATAGGTGAGCTCCATACATCAGTAAAGAGAATTTCCAGTGGGCGAGTTGAAACTATTGTCGTTTGGGAAACAGGTAGTTTATGACTCTTATTGATGAAGCAATCTGGAGCAAGACAATTGTTTTGGAGAAGAAGCAACGGGTAGAGAAAAACAGAAAACAACTTTGTTTAAAATCAACGATGAGGGATGTCCCAACCGTGCATGCCAGGATGAAAGAGTAACTTTGGGTTTGAAAATGTGAGCATAGCTGTAGGTTGAGTCAATCTCTGAGGCCACTCATAAAGCTTGTTCTTAGTTCTGCCGTGGATTAATGGGACCCCCGTGTCAGATCCTTCACCTGAAAAGATGTAGGAAAGAATTCGACGGATACCTGATTAGTGTTGCAAAAGCGATGGACTGATATGAGATTTTTATCAATATGTGGAACTCAGAGCACTTTATGGAGGTTCAATGAACGAGTAGGCGAAGAGAGAGATACTGAACCCGTATGTGTGATTGGAATGCTCTATCCATCCATGATAATTATATCATCACCACCATTTTATGGTTGATGAAGTGACAAGTTGTTGAGGTCGGAGGTGATATGGTGGGTGGCTCCACTGTCCATGATCCAGTGGCAGAGTTTGGAGAGCCTATCGCCATGTTAGCTTTGGGTTGCCAGGACATCGAGTGTGATGGAGCAGAACCAGACTGAAACATCTGCAGTTGAGGGCATCTTTTGGCACTGTGTCCCTGAATACTGCAGATTTGGCACTTGCCCAAATATGGTCTAGGACTGCAGAATTCAGGGCGCTGAGATTGTGAGAATGGCTGCCAGGTACGTTGTTGAGATTGAGACCACTGATTGTTGTTGGTCTTTGGACGATACTGGCTGCGGTTTGAATTGTGACTGCGTTGATGAACAGCATTTTTTGTGATAGGTACATGCGCCAGGGTGATTTCGGAGTAGGGAAAATTTTCGCTTCATGGTTCAAGAGGCATTCATGAAGCTTGGTGACAGTGGGAGGTGTGTCTCGGCCTTCGACTTGATCAACTACTGTCTTGTATTCCTCAGGAAGACCTTCAAGAATCAGTTCAATTTGATCCTCATGATCAAGTGGTTTGCCCAAGATTGCTAGCTGATCTAGGCGTGTGGTGACTCCCTGCAGGTACTCATCGATGGTTTTGTTGTCCTTCTTCCATTGTTTGAGTTGGGTTTTTAATTGCTTGATATGACCTCTACTCGGTTTGGCATATGTAGATTCCAAGATCTGCCAGACTTCACGAGCTGTTGTTGCCTGCGAGACAGTGGGTTGAATGTTGGTGGAAATAGCACCGATGAGAGAGTTGTATATGAGTTTATCTTGTCTCTTCCACATTGTGTAGGATGCATTGACCAAGATCTCTTTGCCGGCGGTAATGGTGGATGCTGGTGTCACCGTGGATCCATCAAGATGTCCCACAAGATCATACCCATCAAGTAAGGCATGAACTTGTAGGCTCCATATTAGGTAGTTGGTGGATGTGATTTTGGAAACACTTGACATGTTAACCGTGAGAAATGTTTGAGCGAGTGGATTGATTGTGTCAGTTATGATGATGGGAGATGTATGCTCTGAGGAAGTCATGGCGGCTAGGATTGTTAGAGAATGAAAAAAATGATGTGTTTCTATGGATCTGTTTGCTCTGATACCATATAGAGTATCGAAGTTATTTCTTATTCAGTATTCTATGCCATAATATATACACAGAGAGATTGACTAGGGCTTTACAAGAGACGTTAATGAGAATATATTTCTATACATAAATGGAATAGTGATTATAGGAGAGATTGATCATATTGATTCCGGATACCAAACACACAATTCTTTCTACGTTACCTTCTCATTGTTCCCCGGCAGCACAATCAATACAACCCAGAAACTGTTCCTGATTACACTTCTTTGAAAGATCTTCATCAATCACCGGAACCATCTCCATAATCTCTTGAATGACGAGAAACCCTAACTCCCTGTCAATGATACCCACGTCATCTTTTGGTCGACGTCAAGTCCTTGCCTCCTGATATGATGTCTGATACATCCTCTGATGCACCAGATCTTAACAGGCGTTCTGATTCCTCCTCTGCTGTATCAACGCTCACACCAAGTACTTTCTCAGAATCTGCGTTCAAGTACTACCTCAGCTTGTGTGTCAGTTCCATCTCAATGTCTTTAGTCTGAACTGCCACAACCTCTACATCGATGCTCTCTCAGCCTCTACACCAAGCACTACATGCTGTATGAACGTCTGTATTAACACAATCATGTGTCTTTGCTTCATATGTCACAACCATTGAAACATGTCTTGCTCCAGCAGGTTCTCAAGCCAGTCAATAATACATCAACACCAGGGACTCGACCGAGATGTTTTTTGAAATAATCACTCTCTTGATCTTCAACCCAAGAAGCAAGCATATAAAACACCTATACATATATTTATCAAAGAAAATAACTAAGCATATCACTTTTTTTTTTGGTTAGTTTTCTTTTAATGTTAAAATTGTTTACCTTTGGCACAGCTCCACCAGTAATGTATTGGGTTGCTTCGCCATGGTAGTGAATGAGTTCCATTGCAGTTCGGATAGCCTTTTCTCTTATGAGCTTGTTGAAAGGCTATCTATTAAAGAAATTCTCTGAAAACATATGAACAGTTTTCCAAAACAAATCTTGCACAAATGTTTGTGGATAGTATAGATCTTCATGTATGATCATTACAATTATTTTGTACCAGTTAACCTTGGCATACTTATAAATATACAAGGCATTAACAGACATAATTATTAGCATACAAGGCATTATATGGCTTCATTAAACTACCTTTGCGCATTGATTGCGAGCTTGTCTCCAAACAATATTTGTATAAGGCTGAGGATAAAGCTCTTCACGAAGCTGTAGAATGAGAGATGTTGATGTAGCTACAAATTGTTTACCATACAAATAGGACAATGGCAAAAAATATCCCGTAAATAAATCCAGAGAGTGCCTGCACGTATATGAAAATATTTGCAAAGTGTTGTAAACTTAATGCTTTATATGGCAAGCAAAGAAGAGTTTAAGAAGTATGAACTTCAGAAAGAAAGAGAGAAAGGCGAACATAAAAACTTCATTTTTTTCTTCTTCTGAACTTATGATTTTACAAAGAATGAAATTAACTATTTATAGGAAAAATCTTACTTCATAGTGAAGTAAACTAATCTATAAAGACAAAACATATAGATAAGCATTATCCAAAATATATGAATAAGCATTATCTAAAACTTATGGATAAACATTATCTTTTAATATGTTAATGTATAAAGACAAAAGCAAATGGATAATCACTATCTATTTAATACAAAGCTAATAATAACATAATTAATATATATATATATACATATATATATATATAGTATCAAATGCCATCGTACATAAACAGTTAACTCAAATCCAAACCCCCACTAATAGGAAACCAAGAAGGAAGGATCCAGAACTCTGGTGGTATCGGTTTGCAGCCAGACCATTCGTACACACCAAGAACCTAATAGTTTCAACTGAAAAATTTCTGATCATTAAGATGATGATCAAGAGAGATAATTAATCTTTTAATTGGTATATTTGTCCACATACCGAAAGCCAAGTCTTTCCAAACAATGACGTATAAGTAGCACCACCGTGGTCAAGGATCCATTTACGAGCCCTTGCGCAAGCACTTTGTTGACCATCATGATCGGGTTCTACAAACATTCTTAGGCAGATGTAGTTGATAACCGTACAGGATATAAAACTGTGGCTATTCCCCACCCACCATCCTGGTCTTTATAATAAGATTCGGTTAATTTTGGAAAAGAATGAAACAAAAAAAGAAAAATAAAACACAACACTGAAGTCATTTGGCAAAAACTATGGAGAAGATTAAAGGGAAAAATAAGGATAATATCACAAAAAAGATAATTATGTATCTTTGTATGAAGAGATGTGCATTCTACCAAAACCAAGCATATAATTTGAATTAAAGGGAGTATTTGTTTGATATATATGTGTGCACCTATATAATGAATGTCTCCTCTTATATTTATTTTTTTGGTTAAAGAAATGGTCTCTTATTTGGAAGACATATGTACATAATTGACAAATACACACGTGTTACTCTTTGGAGTTAGGCGCGGCTCCTTGACTCCCAAAATTTAAATGGTTAATATTTTTAGAACATTTGACCCCCAAATCGTTCAGAAAAAATTATGTATGTATTATCTAGTTGTCAAACCGTAATTGTTTCAAACACTATAAATCTTAGGGTCGAAAGTTCTAATTATAGATCTTCATAGAAAAAAGCATCTTTCTATTGAGTCAGGTACCTGATGGTTGTACAAGTAACGCAGCATCTCTTTCCGATGCTCTTGAGAGAAAATATCATCAAGATGGCCAGTGATATACAAGCATATGATCTAACATTAACTAATTATGGCACCATTAGTTATATTTCTTTGCTTTATTTATTTGTTTGTAATTTATTTAATAGAGAGACTGATCATGTGTAGCTCACAAATGGTGCGTTGAAGAATATACAACCAGCATTTTCAGCAGGCCAATGTCCATCATCTGATTGAAATGCAGCCATATAGAGTATTCCTCTTCTCAATACCGTTCTCGCATCTTCATACGTTATTTTCTCTGCACCCTCTATTCTAACTCGTGGAATCTTCTGCTCAAACTTCTTCTCCCTTAGAAACTTTTAAATAAAGAGATTTTATTTAAATTTTACCGTAAATACTGTATATAGACTAATTTACTGTCATGTGTTCTGTGGTGAAGTGTTTCACCTGCATACGCCAAAGGAGATCCGCACTGGCTTTGTAATTTGACATATTGTCTGAGAAATTCTTGCGAGCCTCCACGACCTCTTCTAGTTCCTTTGGAGAGCTTGCAACTCCCATATCTGCTTTCCGAGGTAGTTGTTGGTGGTGCAGGGTTATCTCCTGCCTTAGCTCCTATTCTCAACCTCCACATCTTGTATTCTCCTAGGCTAAACCAAACGATTGAAAAAAAATGTGTTAGGAATGAGGATCTATAGATCATTATTTTACATGCATGTGAAGATGCAATAGTTGTGTGGTACAAAGATCATTACCAAAAGGAGTTTGTTATTGATGTCGTGCCAGCTTAAAAATGAGAACAGCGAAAAGGAAAACGTTGAAGTCAGTTGATTGGAACTTGTAAAGCTAAAAAGAAAATCAGAGATAATAATAAAGGGCTTTTGCCGGTGAAATTGCTGACAGAAGAGTTCATCTCAGTTACACGTGTATTTGGGCTACACCAATATTATATGTAAAATAGCATTTTTTTTAATCAACTTATAAATCTAGAAACAAAACTAAAGGCAAGCCATTACTTCATATATCCAAACTCCTAAACTTAAAATAAAATTATATAAAATAATTTAAATCATGTAAAACTAAATCCAAGTCACTACAAACTATACCTAAACCCCTTTTAACCCCTAAACCCTTTAGTATACATATATAACTAACCATGAACAAAATAATACAGTATTGAATTGGTCACACAAGTCTCATTCGTTTGAGATTTGAGATTGTAATAATTATGAGAAAAAATTGTTCATCATAAGTTTTAGTTTGCAACAGATATTCATCCGTTTAAATATTTTCATTATATAATTATATAAAACGATGAATTACGTAATAGATCAAAATAAATAAAAATAGTATTGTATAAAAAAATAATATAGGATATGTTCCTCAATTTGGCCATAAAATAAAAATAGTATAGGATATTCTCTTTGTCTCTTCAGCCCTCAACCACCGTTCCTCCACCGCCAGACTCTCTACCTGAGCCTCGCCAGCATCGCCAGCCCTTCACCTATGCATCCCTGCCTCTCATCGCCACTTCCGCCTTTCTTTCATGGAATCTCTCCGTGTTTCGAAGACTAAAGTTTCAGATCTACTCTCCTCCGCTCCCGACAGGGTTTTCTTTGGCGCCGTTGATGCCTCTCCAATCGTCATAAAGCTCCAAATCTGCTGGTTTCTTTCTCTGCTCCGTCGGCCGAGAGTCCTTTGCCATCCTTGGACGATCTTTGCTTCTTCTCTTTCTTGTCCATCTTCTTCTTCGTCATATTGAGCATAGTTACATGGATTCGATTGCTTTCCCTTAATTTTGCAGATATAAAGGCAAAAATCAATTTGGAAGAAGAAAAGAGAGAAAGAGGGTCACGATTTTTTTTTCCATTTAACTTCTTGGCTTTCCAGGCTTTTGAATCCGTATAAATCATTAGAGAGCGATGGTCAGATCCCTGCCATTGTAATAGTTGGGCATAAGCAGATGGAAATATATCTGTCCATAACGTGTTAGCCATTGCTCTATCAATTCTCGTCCTAACCGTGTGTGTATGACGAGAGCCAACCCAGCTATGACAACCTCCAATAGTATGCAGATCATGTAAGCCATTTGCTACTATCATATTTCAGAAGATGGCAATACTGGATTCATATCGTAAAGGACCTCCAGTTTTCTCATCGTTAGATCTGATGTTGAAATCCCCTAAGACCAATCGAGGGGTGACATGATACTGAGGTGCGCTACTCTGCATTTGTTTCCAAAGAGCTTGTCGTAGACGCTGATAAGGGGGACCATAAACATAACTGATGCAGTAATTAGAAACTCCATCTCTGATATAAACATCAGTAAAATTGAGAGAATGATGACAAAGGTCTAGCTGAACATGATTGTCCCAGAAAATTGCTAGACCACCGCCGGTGCCTTGAGCCGATATAATATATTGATGAGGATAACGGAGAGAAGAGCTTACTGTTTGTACATATGAAACATCATTCTTGGTTTCCACGAGAAACATTACATCAGGAGATTTAGAGCGGCGGATCTCCTGAAGATGATGAATTGTCAAGGGGTTTCTCAAACCTTGACAGTTCCAGTGAAGTATCTTCATTGGGGTGATGGTGGCTTCGGGGTTGCCACCTCCCCTTTTGTACCATTCAGAGCCTTAGTGTGAGTACCTGTTCGTTGCCTATTGGTGGATGCTTCATCATCAGTATCAAGCTGCAGAGCTTTACGCTTTGTTCCTCGAATGGCATCTAGATCAACAGGTGGTGAGGAACCTGGGATAAAAGGAACTGGGGGTTGACGAAACTGAAAGTCAGCTTGCACTGAACCTGGGATCGGCGAAGGCTCTTCTATATGAGCATTTGATTCCACCGTTTCTACCATAGTATTATCTCCCTCAACATTTTCATGAAGGGGTGAGTGATGTAAATGGTGTGCAGCATCAGAGGACCCTGCAAGTATATCCATATCAACCCGTGGGCGGGCAGATGAGTTAAGAGCTTCCATATAATAGTCTGGAACTAAAGAGCGATGCTATCGAGAAGGACCAACACCCGATTGAGATAACTCAGCATCGGGCTGCTGTTGCAAAGGCATAGAAATGTTAGAAACATTGTCCACAATATGTTGTCGATAATAAACTTCTCCTTCATATTGACAAGTAGAGTCACTATGCGTGAGTGCTCCACACCTAAAACAGAACTTGCGCAACTTCTTATAGATAAAACGGACCATGGTAGAGTGTCCTGTTTTGAACTCCATATATCGAATGAAGATCAGCCGATCCTGGATATTCTTATGCACGTGAATCCACACTTCACTATCACCATCTACAGAAGCTTCAGTGATTTGAATTTCATCGATGACGCCCAATATATCACCCACCTCATGAATGATGGTTTCAGAGCGAAAATCCTCTGGAATATGCAAAATTTTAACCCAAAACGAAATCGGTTGAAGGAAGTCAGGCTCGAATCTTCGAATCCATCGATCAATAGCGACCATCCAGTTATTACAGTGCCAAGGACCATGCTCCAAAATGTTCATCAGGTGATGTTCCGCTTTAAAATAGAATTGGACAGTACCATCATTATTGATTCGGCTTGTGAGTTTACCTTTCAATTTCCAAGCTTTCAGAAGTAGAATCTTCAGATCGACAGGTTTTTGATGAGTTGGGTTAAGACCTAGGGCAATCAGACTTAACCTGTTATTATCGGAACGAACTCTTCGGGCATCAGCAGAGATTGGTTGCAGGAGGCGACTTTCACCGCCAAGACTAAGATTTTGCATAGCTTCCCAAACGTTCTCCATTTCAGCAAACGGAAGATGAGAGTACAGAAAGTGGATTCCAACAACGAAATTGGAAAAGGAAACCGTAAAAAAATGGTAGATTTACCACCGGAAGTTAAGTCGGGGAGAATTGCAGTGAGTCGGCAAGAAAATCGTCTAGAATTCGCGAGAGAGAGAGAAGAGAGAAGAATCGATGGCTGTCTAATCCGCAGATCAAAGAAGTTGTCTCACTTGCATGGGAAGAACACTGTCAACACATTCCACCATCTTGCTTTAGCCAAGCCATCATCCAATACAGAGATGCCTTAGCCCGCTGGAAGCGAGCTAATCATTTCAATTCCAGAGATCAAATACGCCAACTGAAAGCGTCTATGCATCAAGCGTATATTTCTTCTCCTTTGAATTATCAACATATAAGTTTCTTGAAACAGAAACTTATTGTCGCTTACAGACTTGAAGAAGAATATTGGAAAGCAAAGAGTGGAATGCATTGGCTTAAGGCAGGAGACCGTAACACTAAATATTTCCATGCACTCACTAAACAAAGACGCTATCTCAATAAACTGGTGGTCTTAGAAGATGAAGGAGGCCGCGTATACTCTGAGCCGAGTGAACTTAAGCGTCATGTACACGACCATTTCCATCACTTATATGAGATGCATCATCCAAGGATTGATCCTGAGCTTTTAGCAGGTATCTCTCGTGTTGTTACTCCTGATATGAATAAAAAGCTTCTTTCTCTGGTTACTCTTGATAAGATTATGCATGCTGTCTTTAATATTCCTATTAAAAAATCTCCAGGTCCTGATGGTATGTCAGCTGGTTTTTACCGCAATCACTGGAATACCATTTCTCATAGTGTATATCAATTTGTCCAAAATTTCTTTATAGAGGGTTCTCTAGAGTCTGAACTCAACCATACCTACATTTGCCTTATTCCTAAAAAGGAATCCCCTACTACACTAAAAGAGTATAGGCCTATTAGTTTGTGTAACGTTGCTTATAAAATTCTTTCTAAAGTGCTTGCAAATCGGCTCAAACCATGCTTGAACGATATTGTCTCCGAGAATCAGACAGCATTTATTCCTGGGAGGCTAGTAACGGATAATATTCTAATAGCCCATGAGCTCCTTCATTCTCTGCTCACTAAAAAACACAAGCGTCACTTTATGGCTTTAAAGTTGGATATCACTAAGGCTTTTGATAAGGTTGAATGGGTTTTCCTGGATGCAGTTATGGAAAGAATGGGTTTCCCTATGCAATGGAGACAATGGATTATGAAATGCCTCACCTTTGTCTCTTATTCAGTGCTTCTTAATGGAGAGCCTACAAGTCAAATCTATCCTCAATGAGGTATACGCCAAGGTGACCCACTTTCTCCTTATTTATATCTCATCTGCACATAAGCTCTCCCTGCTCTGCTCCGTCGTTTAGCTCAGAAGAAAGAATTTACTGGATACAGAGCTTCAAGAGCAGGTCAACTAATCACCCACCTTCTTTTCGCAGATGACTCGTTACTTTTCTCTGTAGCAACATTTCAGGATGCTCATACTCTTCAGCGTGCTCTGTCCTTGTATGGACAAGCTTCAGGACAATATATCAACTACCAAAAGTCTTCTCTTCTTTTTAGCAAAGGTACCCCGTCTCCGACTATCACAGATCTTTCCAATTTCTTCTAAATTACCCAAATTATAGGTTTTGGTAAATATTTAGGAGTACCTAAGTCTATAGGTAGAAGTAGAGCTGACACTTTTGCTTATTTAAAGCAATGAATCCATCATAAACTAGCTTCTTAGTATACCAAACTTTTGTCACCCGCTGGCAAAGAAGTGTTGATTAAATCGGTAATCACTGCAATTCCTGCCTATACCATGAGTTGTTTCCTTTTACCGTAAAAATTGCTTAATCAAATCATGACTGATATTAGATGATTCTGGTGGTCCAATAATCCTGATAAAAAGAAAATTTCTTGGGTCTCATGGAACAAGCTAATCGAGACTAAAACCAGGGGTGGACTAGGATTTCGCGATTTACATGATTTTAACATAGCTTTATTAGCAAAACAAGGATGGCGGTTTATGAAGCACCTAAACTCCTTAGTAGCCAAAGTTTATCAAGCTAAATATTATCCTAAGTCCACTTATCTTCAAGCTACCCTCCTCGTCAATCTAGTTACGCTTGGAGGAGTATTTATGCTGCCAAAAACTTATTAAAACAAGGCCTTTTTTGGCGAGTAGGTACTGGCGAAGACATCAATGTACGGTCGGATTCCTGGTTACCATTAAGACCCCCTCGACCACCAATCCCTCTTTCTGTTGATTGTTATCCTCCTCTCAAAGACATGGACTGAGGATTTTCTTTCTCGCTTGTTGCAACGATCTGATGTCCAAACAGTCCTCAAGCTTCGACCCCCCCCCCCCCCCCAGACCAGAGTAAGAGATTCTCTCTCTTGGATATACTCAAATCATGGATGCTATACTGTCAAAACGGGGTACTCTACGTTACGTAATCTATTAAGCGAGAAATCTTCATCCTCATCCTCTGTTCATCCTCCTGCCCCTATGCCTTGGTTTAAAACTCTTTGGAAGATGAATGTTCCACCCAAACATAAATGCTTTTGGTGACGGGTTCTTAATAACAGCTTACCTGTGGCTTCTCAGCTTCGTAAGCGGGGCATAAGAATTGATGTCACTTGTCAATCTTGTGGACAAGAACCGGAAACGCTCAGTCATCTTCTTTTTAGATGCAATATTTCAAAGGAGGTATGGCAATTATCGCTTCCTACTCTTTCTGGATGTTTACATACCGTAAGCGCGGATCATCTGAATAATCTTGGAGTAGTATTTCGCTTAATCTCTTCTAAAACTGCGAAAAGTTCCTTAATTCCTTTTATCGGTTGGGAAATCTGGAAAGCCCGCAATCAATTGCTCTTTGTAGGTCAACAACGGAGTATTGTATCCATCATTGATAAAGCTCTTATGAATCACCAGGTTTGGAATCAAGTAGCTGCCACTGACATTCAACCAGTCCCGAGGTCACCTCGCGTTCTACTGCAGCACTGTCAATCCACGAGCTCTGTTCTAGAGCCCCTGCATACTGTTGTCTCGTGGCAACCTCATGGACACGCTCGTCTCAAGCAGCTGGTATAGCTTGGAAGCTCTATAATAATGAGGCTACACCAATTTTGCAAGGATCTGCATTTCTGGAGGCGGTTCACACTTCCAATGAAGCAGAGACTCTTGCTTTCAAAATGGCCTTACAAGAGGTAAACAAGCTCAACTACTCACCAGTGCTTTTCTGTGGAATTAATCCTTTATTGTATCTTCCACTCAGTCAAGGACGAGAAGAACTTGAAACTATCAATCGGTTACAATCAACTAATATGGCGATGCATGATATTGTTAATTTTGCTCAGCGACAAGGCCATACTTTCTGTTACATTTCCAAATCTATGTTAGCTAATCTTCGTTCTTTAGCTCTGAACTCTTGTAAAAATAAACATCCTTATGTAATCTATTTTTTACGTTAATGTAAAGATTGTCGGAAAAAAAAATTGTAGGGTATTTTCTTCAATATAATACATAATACACAGAATATCATAGCCATAATCTCATATGGTTACAAAACTAATAACCGACCAAAATATTGTTATCTAATACAAATTCTCTATTTTTATTTCATGATTGAATTGTAGATGTACCCATATTGTTATGGTAAGGTGTCACTTGCATAATATTACTAAATTATCTTCAATAGAATGGAATTAAGACCATCTTAAAAAAATATTTTATGTTTATTTATTACTCTATAAATTTATCCTGATAAATAATTTTATGTTTTACTCTACAAATAATATTCCAAACATCTTTGTATAATTAATTATATCTTTAAAATTTTACTTTATAAAGATATAAATTTTTTTTTAATTTATAATAATTTATAATATTAAAATTTTATCAAGCAAATAAAATTTTATTATATAACTATATACTGGTATTATAATTTTGTTGAAGTATAAAAATAAAATATATAATTTTTATTTAATTAAAAAACAGTAACATATCAAGTTAAATATAAAATCAAGAAAAAGAGTGGCTTTGTAACATTTCTCTTCATGAATTAAATACTTTGAATTCTATTTATGAACATAAATAGAATATTAGTTTTGAGTTAAAAGTGTTTTGTAATTTAATTGAAAAGCTCAATGGATTGCATATCATCTTAAAAAAGATATGAGACGCGTATTACAAATTTGATATCAGAGCCTAGCATTAGTAGTACGACATTATGATTGTTACGAACGGTTGAGACATCATACAAGGGATTGTAGAGCATATATGCCGCAGTAGATAGGAGTCAACCAAAAACAATTGTCGCTGCCACCTAAGAAACACGCCTCTGGACCGTGTGTGCTCATGGCAGGATATCACAAATGGGCTGAACTGATTGTTGGTAAGTAACTCTGTCATTGTGGTCAATTTGTTTAGTTTTGTTTGCCTGTAGAGTAGAGTCCTAGAAGTAGAAAGTCCATTACGAAAAATCCATATGGAAGTGGAGAATCTCATCAAAGCTTTAGAACTACTCGAAGGATGAGTGTTCTATCTAAGCACTTGGCAATTAGCAGCTATAAACCCTTTTTCGCGGAATGGATGCTGTAAATGAATTCTATCTACCCAGTCAAAGTAAGATAGATTGTTGTCAGCTTCTTAGTACTTAAAGTAGGCAGAATCCTAAAGGTAAAAACTAAGAGAAGGACCCTCTATAGTTAAGCCATAAAATTTGGTCGGAAACCAAGTGGAGGAGAAGTAGTCATATGAATTCGGAGACGAATTCCTTTAAAGTGAATGAGAGTTGTAACACCCTGATTTCACTAAACCGGTATGTTATTTTTTTTTAATGTGTTGAAGCCCGTTAAGCCTTTTAAAGGAGCCATCATCTGAAATGCCCCTTTTCTCTAAAATAATTCTACTAAATCCCATATTAATCTACTATATCCCACTAAATGTGTGAAGATACTTTTA